CAATTGATGTACGTATGGATTGTGATAAGAGCTGAATGAACCCCTAATAAAAACTATTTTAAAAAAATTGTAAGAGACCCCAATAAAATCTTTTAATAAAAAAAAGAGGAACTGAAAAAAAAAAACCATCAGCAGTGTGGGTCAGGTACTCTTACCAAAGAAGGCAAGAAGTGGATACAGGAGAGTGAAATCCCTTACCTGGATAGGGGGTCTCACTAGTTCATATGTGTAGTAGCAAGGTTTATTTGTCATCTTTATGGAAAATCCACAAATATGAGGGAGGCTGTACTTCAAATCTGCAATGAAACTTTTCAGCACACCTTCCAAATCCACCCTGGGAAAGAACTGCAAGGGCTGGCTTCTGATGCAGCTGAGAGGGTATCTAGCAACGTTAAAGAACAAAGCAGCATCTTTTTTAACATAAGAGAAACTTTAAATGTTAAAGATACATAGAGAAAATCTTTTTAATGTTCTTCATTCCAGAGCTAAAAGGCATTTTTTCATGGGGGATTGCATTTCCTTCCACTTTCATACTCACAATCAAGACTACTCCTGACATACCTATGGTTTTCTAATTGGGCTAGCAAATGAAGATGTGGCCCAAATGGTACAGGAGACGTGATGAGCCTTATCACCCACTACTGTTGGGCCAAGCCTGGGCCCCAGTGCCCTTGAAGGGCAGAGGCTGACCCCCGCAGGTCTCCAAGGCTGTCATTTTTATGCAGCCAGCCAGCCCCATCTTTCTCCCATAAAGCAGCTGATGAAGGTTGGGGAGTAACTGCTGACCTTTTGACTAACACTCGAGCACTTAACCACTGGGCCACCAGGGATGCTACGAGCTTTAAAGACACAATCCTTAGAATGCTTGCACAATATGCAGGCAGAATCTCTCAAAGCAGCAGAAGACTCGGCATCAAGCAGCAGCACATCTAGACAGTGCTCGCTCACACTCCAGAAGCAGTGCCTTGAGAAGAGCAGTTACATGTTCTGATGGACACTCTTTTGAAGACTTGGGATAAGGTGTTGGCATTTAATTAAAGGGTGCACTGATACAAGTCAGCCTTCCTTTCCTCTCAGTGCCTGTGCTAGACACGCAGCCTGCGGAAAGAGAGGCAGGGCTCTTCTTCCAGGAAGACCAGGGTGGTAATGGTTCCATCAGCATCAGTCAGGGCTTCACCTGAGACTTTGGGCTTTCTTTGTGTGGAGAGATATTTTCTTTCTTTTTTCGTAATGTTTTATATATTTTTTCCCCAATAGCTCATGTAATTCAATAGTTCAATCATTGAACCCTATCTGGAGAGATATTTTCTTACCTAAATGAAAAACAAGTGTGATTCCCTAATTCTGCCTATAACATTAAATTACCTTCCAATTTTTTTTGTTAACTGATTCATGTAAAGCTTTCAGTAATATTCACCTTACCACTAGAGGGAGCTCTCACCTAAGGCAACACCCATGATAAGTCCTCCTCTACTAGGAAACAGCACTGAAGCCACATTTCATTTTGCAGTATGAATTGCTGAAATGATGTTTACAGGATAAAAAATCCTTATGAAACTCATCCTCAAATTGACCTTAAGCAAAATTTAAAATAAATTAGAAAAAAACATCCAGAGAACAAAAAGTCAAGAAATTGTTTGATATAAAACCACGTCTGTCCAGTGGAATCCACTTCCCTGTGACCCTATAGCACAAGGAGAACTGCTCCCTAGAGTCTTCAAGACTGAAAGTCTTTACAGATGCAGACAGCCTCATCCTTCTCCCAAGGAGTGACTGGTGGGATTGAACTGCAACCACCCAATGCTTAACCCACAGCATCAACACAAGCTGCTTCAGACACCGAGGAGGTTGAAAGTAATAATAATGGAGGCGGGGGCAGGGAAACCTGGGCAGGGCAGTGAGCAATACACAGCGGCTCGCGGCGACCACCAGGGTGTGAAGGATACGTGAAGATCTTCTCTCCTATCATGCGGAAGTACACACTGCAGAAGACGTTGCTGTCTCCACGAGCTTCTGGAAGTTTATAGCCATACTGGAAAGGAAGCACAAGGTGGAAACCATCCTAAGAGGAAGGGGTGCACAGGCTAAATTACAAGAAACAAAGCTGAATAACACGTGCAATCGATTGCACATGTTTCTGGCTTACCAGGGCATTCCAATGTATCTGGAAATCTCTGTATGACTGGAAAGGGCAGTCAAGAGGGGCAGTGTGAAGGATATTGATTATCTGCCCCATTTTCATACTGTGAACCAAAAAGAGCTGGTCAGTATCACAAGCCACTGCCGAAAACTTGCTTGATCGTTCAACTCAGTGGTATTAACACAGCATGAGAAACACATGTGGCACCATCAAACCACCCCGGCGTGAACAGATCTTTTACCCAGTGCCAAGCTAAATTTGAGGAAACCTCAACAACATTTAGGGAAATCCAAATTGAGTTAGAAAATGTAAAACGCAGAAATAAAAAACCTGTAGCTATGAAAAGAAACACACAATAACCACAAAGATAATGCCACACCAGGGATTACCTGGTAACTGCCAGACTGTCTGTCAAGGCCAATGAGGGTTGAGTTAATCAGCCAAATTCATGTTCCCACCCACCTCTTCCAGCTTCAGTACCTAAATCATATGTGCCTGTGCCAGTTAATTAAACTTTTTTTCTCAGGCAGGTCAAACTTCTATCCCAATAGTCCCATTTGTATCAGTAACAAGTCTGTTCCCCTGAAGACCGGACACACTTAAAACTCAATTAATTTCAAATGATATTGAATCACCAACTCTTAAATTCAGGTGTATGAGGTCTTATTGCCATTAGTACGTTAATTGTCTTTTCATAAGGAGAAATCTAGAACTCTGCTTCCCCAAACTAGATCTAAAACAAAATGCAAACATAATAAATTACTTAGTAAGTTGATACAGGGAATGGATAGCGCACCTAAGGATGATACTATCATTTTAATTTCTTTTTCAAGTTGACTTTTAGAACTTCCTTTGCTGATTTGTACTGTCGCCCAAGCCCTGTTCAAGAGGTACATGAGAAGAGTGACTGTGGTTTGCACATGCCCAGTGCACTGCAAATCAAAATGGTACCTTGGCAACACGTAGCACCAGTTGCTTATAATGGACTGACTTTCAATGATGGCACTCTCGTTGGCTTCAAAGTCCTTTATAACCCTCTCAGGAATGTTAAATTCTTGCAGCTTTCAATAGTAATAAAGAAGTTAATTCAAATGTCCTCAAAAGAATGTGGTCAAGAAAATTAACATTAAAATGTGGCTTTGTTTTACATATTTGTATTACATATATATATTGATAGACACACAACACACATCAGTCAGAATGCAATTTACAATAGAGTGATCATCGTGGAACCACTTTACACAATGCCATCAGTGTTCTAGCCCATCTGGGGCCCCTCCAGTACACCTAGGTCTTGCACTCTTCCTCTTAGTAGCCCATCTCAAAGGCCTACACTGAGCTGAGGTGGGCCATTGGTCAGTTTCTGTGAGTGTGCTCACATGCAGGAAAGAAAGAGTTCAACCGACAGTGGTTGGCATGAATCCTACAGATCAATTTCCCTTCAGAGGAGGGAGTGGGGAGCTCTCCTTGACCTGTGTCTTTTGGTGGGGAGAGCCCAGGACCCACCTCCTGAGGTCCTTCCCTTCTCCCCAGGTGTCCTCCACACAGGGCCTATGGGCTCCG